ATTTAATTTTAGTTTGTTTAATTTTTATTTATTTTTTATTAATCTCATTCAAAAATCTATAATTGTTTATAAAAAACTTTGTAGATTATTAAATTAAATGTAGTTTAATTTTAAATTTGTATATTCTTTCTATTCTAGTTGCTTACTATTATTTCCCATATTTTTAAAAAAACATTTTAGAATTTCTCTCAGCATAGTCTTAAGATCACGGAGGAGAATTCAGGAGAAAAGCATTTACTCTAGGAGAGCTGGAGAGTGCCATAGGAGGCCCTTAACCCTTTCAGAGAACTGGTATCTGCTGCTTTCTGCTTTGAGGAACAGAGCAACAAAAGGACTTCCAGAAGGACACTGGTGTGAATGTCTCTGACCAAACAACCAGAAACAAACTTCATGAGTGTTGTCTGAGAACCTGACATCCTTTAGTTTGCCTGATACTCAGTGTCCAACATTGTGGAGCAAGGTTGGCATTTGCCATAGAATACCAGAATTGTCAGGTCCATCAATGGCCTCCTGTGTTTTCCACAGAGAGCAGGTTCACCCTGAGCACATGTGACAGAAGGGAGAGGCTCTGGAGAAATCATGGAGGCCGCTATGCTGCCTGTAACATCATTCAGGATGACAGGTTTGGTGGTGGGTCATTGATGGCCTGCATGGAGACACACAGACACCTACAGGCTAGGCAACGGCACCCTGAGTGCCATTAGCTATCAGGCTTAAATCCCTGGACCTGCTGTCAGACCCTACACTGGCACACTGGTGCACTGAGTCTTGGGTTCCTCCAGGTGCATGACAATGCCCAGTCTCATGTGGTGAGGGTGTGCAGGCAGTTCCTGAAGGACGAAGGAACTGCCTGCACAGGGGGGCCATCAAACTACTGAATACCATTTTGAGTTGTTGCAATGAAAAACAACTCTGGCAAAATGGGCTAAGCTGCCACATTATCTTACTTTGATTTCCAAGGTGCCCTTAAATTCAGCCCCCTGTAGTTTGATCATTTTTATCAAATTGTTGATGTGGCATCTCTTCTTTCCTGACACATTTCCCAGTATAGATGTTGTATAGACTCTCGGTGAGAGTTGATGTGTTTTCAAGGGTTTCCTTTAATGTTTTCCAGTTACTTCGTAGTTTTTTCATGCTTGACCTTTAAGCTGCTTTGTGTTTTAATAAATAGTTCATTGACCTCGCTGAACTTAAATATACAGACAGGAGGGAGACGCTTCTGCCTCTCATCCCCCATCTTTCAACGCCATCTTTCACCTCCTCATATCTCCCTCTGTACACTGAAAACATCACGCAGCACTTTGTTCACCCCTGTTTGAACCGGACTGCAGACTTACCACCGGTCCACTCTCCTGACTCCTTCATGTTAGAAAATAAACAGCCGATGAGGGCAGCGGGTCTTCGAGTGGTCAAACGGCTCTCGGGAGTTCAGCCGGAGCTCAATTAGACTGAAATATTTACATTTTTAGCAACAGTGAGAGCCAAAAGTTCATTTCCCCCTCTGAAGTGGGACACTGTACAGGAGCCGATCCACTTACTGCTACCACACATCTGAACCAAGTATGCATTACAGCAGACTTTTCTCTCAGTTCAGGAATCCCATTCATTGGATTTTACAGACATATATAGAATAATTACAGGGAAAAAGAAAGCAGTTTGATAAAATTGGAAACTATAAATTTGATTTCCAATAAATGAAGAAAAAAATATTGAATGAGTTCATATTTATAGATTTTAGTGCTCCCTTTACCGTTTATTTGTTCCAGCGACTGTAAATAAAGTTTCCATGATGCAAATAGTAAGCACAACATTGCATCCAGCTAGTTAACCTTACTGACCTCATCTGACACTTGGCATGTCACCACTTCCTCCAAGTGATAAAACAGAAAAACAAAAAAAAAAAATAGACAACAACAGGTTTTCTGTACTTAAACTTTACTTTTAGCGAAATGTGCATTGACACGGAAAACTACAACCAGAGTAACCAGATGGAGTACTCACAACCTCAGCTCAAGCTCTCCTTGTTAATTCGTTTAAAAGCAAAAAGAGTTTCTTAATTAAGTTTCTTAATCATGGTCAAAATGTTATACACCTCTCATTAACTATGGTCTCCAGCTTGGCTGTGAGCACCTACATTTTTCTAGTCACGTTAAAGCCTCAGATATTGAAGAAATGGGGAAACAAGCAGTTTGTTGGCGATAGGTCAATATTTTTTCAAATAACATCCCTCACTTTTTGTATTTTGCTAGGGAAATGGGAAAAAGATGCAGCAATTTATCACGACGTGCAAATACACCTGGAATATGTGCACAATTATAACAAACTTGAAAGTCAATATTTAGAATGACTTGATTCGTCAGCACAACCTGAAATGTCTTAGACAAGCTTTCTTGTAAATTCCTTAATTATAAGATTGGAATAGTCTCCAGGCTTGTTGAAGACCATTCAGAGCTCTTCTTCTGTTGGCTGCCTTTTCTTCAGTTCTCTGTCAAGATGATCCCACACCACTTTAATAATGGTGATGTCCGGGCTCTCTGGAGGCCAACCTATGACTGATAGTGCTCTAATACGGGAAACTTAAGATACTAAAGGGCCAGACCCATCTCTCAGGCCTGTCTTTTTTTAAACTCATTATTTTTAGATACAGTTTATCTGTTTTGTCTTCCACTTCTCCAGCTTCCTCAGTGTTTAAGGATAAAATACACACCAAGCTGAGATGTGCCAAGATTAGACTAGGTAAAAAAAAAAAAAAAAAGATTGAAAAATCAGTTTTTCTTTTTCTTTATATAACCACATCTATAAGGACCAGGTTCAGTCTCAGCAAGTTGGATGGAGAACTACTGCTCACAAACACTGACGTAAAAGCATACAAGGAAAGAAAACTCTCACTGAATTGCTTTAATACTGAAGAAGATGTAAAAACATGGAAATTTCCAGGCAAATTCTGAACTGTATTTTTTCCCCTTAATCTCAGTTGGATTTATGGATGTTTATCTGTGCTGGTATCCACAGAATGTGTCTATGAGATCAGTTATGACTAGGAGAAAAAAGTAGTATGTCAAACAGTCCATGTTTTGGGTGTTTTTATGCATGAAAACAATAGAAATATAAGTTATTTGTTCACACCTAAACTTTCCCTGTCTCCTACATCCCAAAACTGAGTTATGTTGAGTTATGTTTTTGAAATATTCAAGATTTTCTTCAAACGTATACAGTGTACATGATTCTAGTTAGTTTTTCAAGCAGAGGAGTAGGAGTGTAAAAGAAATCCCCCAAATTTGGGCACATCAGTGTTTTCTCTCAAATAAAATCAAAATGGAAAAAATTTAATTACTCAAATCGGGCAAAGCGGAGGTTTTTATCAGAGAAGCAGAGTTCAGTGGGAGTTCAGGCAATGGTTCTGGAGTTCACCCGAAGGTTAGACACTGTAGCACAGCTCGAGATGGGTTCACTCTGGGTTGATTGATATTAAGGAGAATAATTTGCTAATGATGAGCTGACGAACAGTTTATTGGAGGTTCAGCGGAGGGTGTTGGGTTCAATCAAGGGTCGAGTCAAAGCTCCAGATGGGTTTGTTTGAGGAGTTCTTGAGGGTTATGAAAACAGCCAAAAGTTCAGCTGCTGGTCATGTCCTCAACAGTATGTGTGAGGTTGTGTTTGTGTGCAGTACCTGGTACCTCCTGGATCACCACCTGGCTGAAGTCGCAGATGACGTCTGGCAACAGGTATCGCCGTGGGTCTCCGATCTCGTATACCAGTTGCTCGGCGACAGTGCCGAAGGAAACGAGGCCGCCGGTTTTGGGTGGTTTGGAGAGAACGAAGGAGCCGTCGCTGGAACATTCGACCACCGGGAAACCCATGTTGTCCCTGAGACCCAAATCAAAGGCCAGGCTTTGACTTTCTACTGAAATTGTTTCCGTTTTTAGATTTTCACTTTGTTGTTGCTCTGAATGACAACAGTATGGAAGGTCTTCAGTGTAGAAAAGACATTTTAGGAACTCCTTAAGGTTTCATGCCTCGTCTTGATGTGAAGGTTTTTAAGCATTTATAGCCTGGAAGAACTTTAAAGACAACACATTTGTTTAATACTATAAAGCAACTGGGTTTTTTTTTAAGTTTAGATACTTCACAGTTTCTAAACAACAATAACTTAAGTTGTTAAGGCAAAGGTTGAAAGAAGGTTTGGCAACCTGCTTTAGTACTTACTAACAGCCTCTTTGGCAGACATCACGGCCTTAATGTTGTTGAATTTTCATGTGTTATTCATCCAGTATGTTCCTACCTCCTTGAGATTTTTGGGGTCTATCTCACTGTGCTTATTTGAGAGATCTGATTTCCGTGTCCTTGAACATTAGCAACCATGGAAATAAACCATGGAAAAACCTCCTGAGGTAGTCCGCTGTGGATTTGGAGGGTTTTCCAGCTTCTGATTTATGACACACTGATGTCTGCTTCAAGGATCTGCTGACCTTTAATTCAATGCATTCTTGCCTCTAATGGTGAAATATTTCTTTTGCCGCTGGCTGCGACACAAGCCCAAAGCATGATGGGTTTAAACGGTTGAAGAGGATTTTCTCTTCATGAAACTATGTGCACATCACTGCTAATTGTGGCTTAAAAGTTCTGTTTTACCTTCAATCAGTTTAACTCTATTTATATAGAATAACAGTTCCCACAGGAGCTTTATATGTTAGGGTAAAGACCCCACAATAATGCAGAGAAAAACCCAACAATCCAATGACCCCCTACGAGCAAACACTTGGAGACAGCAGGAAGGAAAATCTCCCTTCCATAGTGAGGATAATTTGACTTTAATGATTTATACAGACAGAACAGTTAAGAGTCATTTTACCCTTAAGCTCTTCCGCTGACATTGCACAAATTTAGTCTGTGATCAATGTTGGAGTCTAAAAGGAGCTCAAGGCTACTAACTGTTAAGATTAACAACCTGCAGCCCTGACAAGCTAATAAAAAATTAAGCTGCTTTTTTTTAACTGTAAGCTGAAAACAACAAACTAAACTTAATTTAAATGTCAGAAAAATATTTGATCTTTAACTTCATAGCTTTTGAATATCTACCCATTTCCAATTGTTCACATTAAGTGAGAGAGTGGACCAGTGACCAGTGAATAAGGTTCATTACAAACTGAGAAGCAGAAAGGCCTAACTCAGGGGTGTCAAACATAGGGCCCCGGGACCAGAATCGGCCCCGCAAAGACTCAGATCTGGTCCACCACACGACTATAAAATATATGAAGGAGGGCATACTTTTTGGGGGCTTTAACTGTATTTTTAACCCTGGCTTTTTTTTTATGCAAATTTGCATTATAATATTTCTTTTTGTTTTTTCTGCAGTATATAAAATTGGTGAATCTCAAAAATAAAACTATAAAGACACTCAAAATAAATTTTCTGTTGTTGGAAACTTTTTTGTGCAACTTTTTTGTATTTACACTTTTGAGGGATAAACCTCTTAAATTTCTCTAACTAGCAATATATGTAAAAAAAAACAAAAAAACAAAAACTATTTTCAATTTTATTGTGGTTTATTGCCCTTTTTTGCAATTTATGTAGTTATTATGGACTTAATGCAGACATATTATTAAAATTTGGGCTATAATGGTTGTATTGATGTATAGCAAGTTGAAATGCTGCCAAAAATGTCAGTACAGCATGTAAAAATATGAAGATAAGCTCTGGCAGACTTGGTTCTATGGTAGGTCTTAAAGGGTTAAAGGTTTCACAGGGTATTCTGCTGATCATACTACATCAGTGCAGTGGATAAACAAAAGAAATATTCCTGCTTTTCACTGTCTACAATAGAAGCCCATGAATCAACAAAACCTTTATTTTTTATAACTGCAGACCATGTGAACAGTGAGCTACCAGAATTTTTGGTGTAATTTTACACCAAAATTGTAATTGGTGTAATTTGGTGTAATTTATAATGTATAAAAACTGCTGAAATTCATATTAACATATTAAATGTGTAGTTAAATGTCTCTGACAGAGTTTCACACGACCTAAGATCACTTAAGATCAAAGTGGGCTGTATATGTATATGTGTATCTCTACTTCCAAGCTGTTTAGGTAATATCATGCTGAAAGTTATCAAAGAGTTGTCAAAGTCAAGCCAGCAAAAAACTTTGTTGGAGTCTACGACTGAAACTGGATCTATTCTGAAACTGTTCTCAAAACTTTCATTCACAGTTTGTACTCAGTCTGAAAAGTAAAAACTTACCGTTTACTCATTTAAACCTTTTAAAGTGAAGAAAATAATTCAAACATTGACTCTCTGACCCCGTGAGCTGTATTCACAGATCTGGTTTGAGAAGTGTGTTGAAAACCATAAAATTCTTACCAATCGGGAACTTTATGCCAGTCTGTGAAGATGCCTCCTGTGCTCTGAGCGCCGCACTCGATCAGGTGACCCGCGAGACTGGAACACAGAAAACAACGACTATAAACCAAAATGATCTGAAGTTCAGAGACGGTTTAAACAGTATTTTCATCGCAAGCAAATATCATAAAAAACAATTTCAAGAATAATTTCTTTATCTTCGAACGTTTGTTCAGAATAGAAACTTTAATCACCAACTTTAAATTTTATTCAGTTGAATCCTGATTGTTTTTGTTGTCAACCTTATTTAGCTTTGTTCTAATTTGTGTTGTGTTTGTAACCTATATTATTAAATATTCAAATATTTCAGAGTTATTTTTGTTTTAATGCATTAAATTGTAATTTCATTTATTTATAGGTTTTTGAAACATTATTTTACATTTTTGTAGTTTTTTCAGTATTTTTTGGAACAAGTGTAACTTTCTTCTTGCTTTTAAAACATCATTTATCTTTCTCACTTTTAAAAAAATTATTTGATTTTCATTTTTTAAAAATACAGTTTGGACTTCCTCAAATGTTATTGTTATATTTTATATTAATTAATAATAATAAAATATAATCGTATTAACTGCATTATAAAAAAATGATAACATTATTTAAATTGTATTTATTTGCAAAAGCTTAATTGTAATTTATTCAGCTTCACTGTTTGTGGCTTTTAACAGTTTGGAGTCTTAATTTAAATTTTTGTTTTAATGCAACTTTTTGGTATTTTATTTGTTAACTTTAATCTTAATTCAAGGTTTTAACTACAGTTTTTGACCCACACCTAACATAGTGTCACAAATACCGCTGTCTGTGCGTGTGTGTCCATGCATGTCTGTGCGTGTGTGTCCATGCATGTCTGTGTGTGTGTGTCCATGCATGTCTGTGTGTGTGCGCGTCTGTGCGTGTGTGTCCATGCATGTCTGTGTGTGTGCGTGCGTGTACCTTCCGGCTGCCAGCAGGTCGTAGTCGTTTCTCTCCCATCCAAACTGCAGCAGATAAGAAACACACACAGACATCACATCTCTGGCGGCGACTCAAGCAAACACATGAACAGATTGTTGGTAGAAGGTAAATAAATAAGTGTGTTTGAATCAAGTCTGCCTCAAGTGGTCACGAACGGAACTGCAGCTGTTTGCACGCCTGCTCGTTCCTGACCCTCGCTGTGGCTCTCATGATGTCCAAAAGGGAAAGAAAAAACAAAAATGTGCAGCAGGATGACAAAGTGTGATCCCTTCTTGGAGAAATGCTGAATGAATTCCAATAAATGTTAGAAATTAAAAACCTACAGCGTGCATGAGCGGCCCCAGGGCCACGGCGCTGTCCACACAGCGTCCCGTCACCACGATGTCCGCTCCGAGGTCAAGGCAGTGGCGGATAGGGACGGCCCTGGAAATGGAGACATGGCAGAGGTTTTCAGCAACTGTTTGGGCTCCAGCTGAAATCTGTAACACGAAGCAGGGCGTCCGTACCCGAGGTAGGCATTCATGCTGTGCAGGGTTTTAGGCAGCTGCTGTCTGCCACTGCCGTCCGGCATCTTTACGTCAGACAGGCTGCTCCTCTGAGAGAAGAGAAGAAGAAAGGAGAGGATTAAACGTCTAATCAATCACACTAAATAGGGAGTGATGATGTCAGAGGCGCATTACATGAGGCATGAGGTCATCACCGGTCACCACGGCAACCTTGAGTTCAAGGCCGGCCTTCTTGGTTACTTCCTGTATGGCTTCAGCGCAGGCCAGAGGGTTCACGCCACCTGCATTACTGACCACGCGGATACCTGATGAGAGAGGAGGTTGTCGTTCATCACGAGATCACCTGTTGCTATGGAAACACACTTCCCGCTGTGCTGTTTACTCACCTTTCCTGTGGATGTCATTGATGAAGGGAGCCAGAGCAACCTGGACAAAGTCTGGAGCGTAACCGAGGTTCTGCAAGAGCAAGAGTCAGATGTTAATGCAGAGGTGGGGAGAGAGGTGAAGCAGCGCTGCTCCCTGCAGGCACGGAGCTGCAACAACAGGCAGAAAACCCTCCTACAAACCCCATTTCTCCTCTTAGAGCTGGGGGTGTGGGACTCCAGGCTTCGAGGGCCGGTGTCCTGCAGGTTTTAGATATCACCCTGGGTCAACACACCTGAATCAATTGACTGGTTCATTACCAGGCCTCTGGAGACCGCTTGATGGATTACGGCTACTGTAGTCAGAAGCCTTGCAGAATAAACTCCGCTTCACATCCCAAAGTCAAACAAACACTGTTTGACTTTTTAACTGAGAGTTAAAAACTGTCTAAATTCTTTCATCTTTAATAAATGATCAGTGTTGCTGCTCTACCAGGTGTAACAATTGAGTTTAACATCCAGGCATCAATGAAAACAGAATGTATTAAACTTAAGGGAGTTAGAAGTTAGCAGGAAGTTAGCTCGCTAGTTTCCACCTAAGCATGATATATCATGTTCTGACCTTGAGATTTCTGAAAAACGTACAGCTCTGTTATCACTTCCAACATTAAATAAGACAGAAAACTAAACAGCAGTGACGTTTGTAGGGTTACTAAAGTTAGACTGGCTGGTAAATAATGATGTGCTACGTGATTGCTAGCGACACAGCTATGTTAGCATAATATAAACAGTGAGGCTGGAGGATGAATGCCAACTTTTTTCCACTCAATAAAAGCCAACGTGAGGGTTCCCGATGGTTAGTGAGAAATGCAATCGCATGGCAGGATGCTGTAAACGGACCAAACTTCAGTCCAGAGAACAACTGAGAAAATCCATCCACAATACAGCAGTATCTTTATTTAGATACACAGAAAATGACGGAAAGTCATTAATATACTGCAACAACATGAGAATAAAGCAGCTGCCACATAATTCAACATTAATGAATCAATGGTACAGAAGTGGAGGAAGCAAGAAGAATGAGTTGAGTAAAGTTTGACTTTTCTGACTGTTTTGTTTCCCTTAATGTGCCTTGTGTATGAAAACAGACCCGCTCATCGACAGTGCATCTTATAATCCAGTGCGCCTTATGGTCCGAAAAATACGGTAAGTTGATCATTTTACAATAAATCTGTAAACCACACACGTTTTGTTTGGACTCCATAGATAACTTACTGATTGTGCGTCAGTGGCTATTTTCAATGTGAACTTTTACAAAAATTAAATGTAGAATTTTTAAGCTACAAAAAACTAAATAAAAAAATCTTCCCTGAAGTTTTTAACACAAGCAGCTGCATGAATATTTTGATATATTTTAGCACTGTGTGTATATGTTTGTAAAGATGTTCATTTAAATTCTTCTGTTATTTGTTTTTATATTTCTGCATCTCTGCAGGTGGTAAAAACAGTCTTGGTTATGGAAATGCAGGAACTCACTGGCATTTTGGTTTTGGCAGCGGTGAGCAGAGACATGGTGATCTCACTGAGGTAGTCAAACACCAGAAAGTCCAGCTTCCCGCTGTAGATCAGCTGAGGCACTGAAAGCACAGGAGAAGCGGCTCAGCAGCAAAGCACGAATACTTCGATGACAGAATGACTGAAACAGCTCACTCTGAGGCTCCTCTTAAACCCTCCGAAACCAGCTGACGTTTCTGTTTTTTAATACAAACGTCACAGATTCAATTTCCTGCAGTGGTGATTTTTTTTTAATACACAGCAGTTTAGGGTAGGAATGTCTTTATTTAGGTAAAAGAAACCCCCCAAATCATCTCCCTGCCCCTTAATATGCACCTGTGCTGCTTCTACGTCAAGTAACGATTTAAAACAACACTGGGAAGGATGCCAACAATACCCCATCAGCCTTTTACGACTGAGGGGTAATAAAAAGTATAAAGGTTTAGTATAAAGTATAGTATAAACGTGCATACTCTGTGCAGCAATTTGGTGAGGGAAAATGTTAAATGTGCTTAATTATTACATTTTACTTACTTACTTGACAACAAACGAAAGCCAAATAAAGGCATCCATCACCATCTACGTAAAACCAAAAACTGCAACAATAATAACAATAAAAACAATAACGTTTTACCCTTTTTTTTAGCTAAATTTACACGGCGTTATCGTGATGGATGGTGACGTGATGGCCTACCTGCGGTGGCCGTGTCCCCCCAGAACCCGGAGGCACAGCCGATCCGGACCGGTTCCCTGCGGCTGTAGCTCGTGTAGCCCCGGGTTCTGGGTCTGTTTCGGTGCCTCGGGCTGGATGACAGCGCAGCTGAGGAGCGCAGGCGCAAAAAGTTTCCGCTAACACTGAAACCGAGGCTCCCTTTTGCGCCTCTGCCACAAGAGAGCCGCCTGAAGGGCGCAGGCGCGGCTCGGAGTAACTGCGGAAAGTTGGACATCGTGAAAAAAATTATTTATGGAGCTAAAGCTAAAGTGCGAGAAAACTGAGAAATCCACTCAGACAAGTTCAAGGTGCACCGGTACAACTATGAAAACAGTCCGACGGGAAACGCGTCACAGTTTTTCCGCTCATTCCGGATGATTTCCTGTTTATTTTGGATGCAAGAAAAGAAACAGTTTTACTGTGGTTCGGAAAGGAAAACACAACTCTTTTTAATTTGTAATTTTTATTATATTTAAGTAATTAAACAAATGTAACAAGTAAGTAAATAAAATAAAACTTAAATTCACAATAGTACACAATAACGAACCCCTGTGAAAGAGACTATAACACACACACACACACACACACATATATATATCTACAGCAGTATTTTTATTTAGATACACAGAAAATGACGAAAAATATTCAAACTCTGAAACTGTGTCAACATAAAAGAATATTTTGAATCTATTACAAAATGTCCAATATTTCAATTAATATCACGTGATACGTGCAAGTGTCATTAATGAAACATTCTATGACACACAATCTTTTTATTATTATTCATTACATTTGGGTAGTGTATGTTTATGCCAAGTAAATCAACTCAAGTTTTTAAAAGAAGTTATTTAGCAATGCTTGATGCAATTTGAGTACATTTCACTCAAATAAGAAATAAAAGTTTTATTTAGGTTTCTATAGCAGCATCTGCCCCTCTGTTAATATTCCTCAGGGTGATGTGACTTTGACACCCGATGCAACATTGTTTAGAGAACATGTCATGTAACATCAGTCTAAAGTGGAAATTTTAATGCATGACAGTTTTCGTGCTCTGTGCAAAAACAGCAGAGGATGAACCAGACGGCTGGGTACACTCAGCCGAACTGCTGACTCCACTGCCACACAGTGCTCTTTAGTATCAACCGGTAGTGCATTTTGTATCAGAAAAAAAATCAGGATCCCAGCAAATCTCAACACCAGCACTCCTGTTATGGCCACAATCATGTGGAAAGCTCTTTGCCTTGATTGGTCAACCCGCCCCTTTTTCCCGCCCACCTCCCCTGGCCCCGGACGAATCAGAGTGTGAGGTACAGACAGGCAGTAGAAAGAAATAAGTAATATGCAGATGCCCATGTTGGAGAAAAATGGTATTGCAGGAAAATTTGGCCAGTACAAGTGTTCTACCCCCATCCACCCAAGCCCACCACCCAAACACACACAGTGATGATGTTTCTAATCTTGATCCCATGACATTCTCGCAGATGCCTGTAGGTGATGGGGTGAACAGCCAGATAGCGCTCCAAACAGGTCAGGAGATGAAACATAACCTGTACAGGTATGTGATGCTGAAGAAATACTGCCCTAACACAAGCAGTGTGTTATTACCATTATATTTGTACACATTATTGAGGACTCTAACAAAGACTCCAAAAATCTCTAAAATCATCAAGTTGTAGGTGAAGAAGTCAGAGGGGCTCATTGTCATCCCTGTAGGTGTAGAGCGCTGACGGCGCCAATGCTAGAAACCCATGTAGAGGATGAGGATGTAGAGCAGTAAGAGGAGGAGGATGCTGCCGATGGTGTAAATCGTATGCATTACTATGCTGGATGCTGAGTGTTGGCATGCTAAGTCAGAAGAAATGGAGGTGTTGATTGAGTTGTAGGAAAAAAGAGGTGGAGTAAAACTGAGGGAGGACGAGGAGTCGATGGATTTGACCTATAGAAGACAGTAGAAGAAAAATAAGAGTAAAATATGGATTAATTGTTTGTAATTTGGTACAGCAAACATCCTAAAGATCACATTCCAGGAGATGAACAGTTACTCTAAGAGAGCTTAACCCAACAGCAGGACGGGTATTTGCTCCTTTGTGCAAGCAAGAACAGGACGAGCACTGTCAGAGCTACTAAATAACCTCCAGCAGGCCTCTGGTGTGAATCTGACCGAACATTCAGAAAAAGATTTCATGAGTGTTGCCTGAGAGCCTGACATCCTCTCATGCAGGGTTGTCAAACTCAAATACACAGTGGGCCAAAATTCAAATCTGGAACAAAGTCGCGGGCTAACATTAATATTTATTGAAAAAAAAAAATCTTCCTCCAGATATGAGAATGAATCTTTTCTTATGGACTCGAACACGTTTTGCTGAAAAACTGAATATGGAACATGCAAAGCTTAATACTAACATGTAGACAATCCGAATGTTATAGTTTCTTTCCACTGTGTTCCTGTTAATGATAAACTACAAATTTACTCTAAATTACTAAAATATCGATATTTTAAT